TATAATACACATTATTTATGGCGTATACAAGTGTTTTTAATATACAGGAATTACTAGAACATATTTTACATTTCTTAATAATAGATAAATCTCTTTACCCTGCACTATTTATTTGCCAATTGTGGTACAGATGCTGTGCTCCTATTTTATGGAAACGCATTGAGCTAAATGGTGTGAATGATCAAACTCAATTAAAAAATTTTTAAAAATAGTACATATGGGAGGGCGTAAACCAATTTATAGCTCGAAATTAACTCATATTAAAATATCAGACTACCGGCTTTCAAATAGAAAAATCAAAAACATTGTACGCAGGTTCCAAAATATAATTCATTTAGATTTTGAAGGAAATATGGAATCTGAGTCTGTTGGGAAAGTTCTAAAGCTAATAGTAGAATTATACCCAAATTTGGTGTATCTTAATATATCTGTTTTAGGTAATTTATTTCAATAGAAAATTGATAAAGGTCTAACTGCAATCGCAGATTTATGTCATAAATTAGAATGTCTAAATATTTCTAATCGCACAGAGTTTTCTGAAATATCAATTTGTAATGTTATTCGTTCTTGTCCAAGACTCCAATGACTTGATCTTAGCTATTGTAAAATTACTGATATAACTATCAAAGAAATTGCTAAATCAAGTCTTAATTTAAAATATCTAAATCTGGAAGGGTGTGATAATATTAGTAAAGAAGCCATAGATCAGCTAAATCCAAATATCCATGTCGAGAGTTTGTTGATTGTGTAATATTTTTCTGCAATTGAAGAACCAGTGACATCCTTTGTATCTGTAGACGCGTAGAAATACGTTGATGAGGTAATAATAGTAAAAAAATCATTGTTGACGTCATCATTTTTATCAGTGATGTATTGTTCGTAAGATTCAAAGTCTTTATCTCAATTTACTTTCTTTTTTTCCTTGGTGTCAGGAATCTGAGTGTCCATATTATTTGATAAAAAAAAAGAGATAGTGTTTGAAGGAGTAGCGTGTATAGAGTCATTTGTGCTTTAGTCAATTAAAACAAGAGGTTGTTGATTGTCTATTTCCATAACAGAGTCCTCTTTATTTTTGTTTGGGACTTTAGAAATGATAGTTAGGGTATCAGAGTCGATAGTTTGATTATTGGAAGGGGTAAGGATAATATTTTCTAAATTATTTATGAAAGAAGAAGAAATTTTTTTCGTTTGTTCAGAGTTTCAGTATTAAAGTTGTTTGGGTTTTTTGTTTGTGAGGTAACAGATGTTTGAAGTAGAGTATTCTGAACGTTTGAAGTGAAAAGTTCAGTAAAAGTATTTTTGTTTGAAAATTTTTGTTTGAATTTTTTGTTTGTCTAGCGGTGGTCATGTTGAAGTGAGAAAGAATCTGTGTCAAAATCAGATCAGTAGATAAATAAAAAATCGATCTACAAGATCGCTTTGTACTATATATAAATATGGTTAGACACATTTTTATATAAAAAAAAAAACTCTTTCTCTCTCTCCCAAATTTTTTGGAAACAAAAAATTTTTTAGAAAATAAAAATTTTTGCCCTATATACTTTAATATTTTGCAACTCTGTTAGTTAGTTCTATTTCTTCACTTTTATAACACCTTTATTTCGAAAGAGTTTTA